ACTAAACGAAGTCTCCATTATCCATTTATACGTTAAATCATCCATCACAAAATGTGTTCAAATTCACTAAATACCGAAGGCTAACGATGGTATCGAGAGTTGATTATGGTCTAGATAAGTTAATTCATGTCTAATTAATAGTTTAGACAAAGAAAGACCTGCAATAGACAGATTTAGCTCTTGCATAATGTATGGTTATGTTAAAGATACATTCCCACGAAAGATAGTTATTATTCCAATAAAAGTATGCACGTTTTGGTATATATGTTGAAAGTTGGGACGCCCAGTCTTACTAGAAAAATACTGGGTTCCCTGTAAATGGCAGTCCGTCTCATCAAGTGACGTAAGTAGCGCTTCTCTTGTGTTGATCTAATGGCTAATGATAAGGTGCCCCACCATAAATAAATATCTCCAAATATCTCGACAATTACACCACAATATCTATAGATACACCAAGCCTTAAATCAGTTTCAAACATTTATAGTCACTAAATAAACGGTCATGTTGTACTTAATCAGCTATGACCATTTAAACATCCATAAATAATACACTGAAAGATGGTTATTTGGCGGCCATAACAACATCCGAGCACATGTGAGTAAAAAATAGGTTACGTGGCCGTGTTTTGAAAGTAGTCTCGCTTAACCAATCTACCGACCATTCTACGTTCATTGACAGGTCGGGATAATCAAGACTACTTTTTAACTAAACATAACAGAAAGTTGGAACAAGAAATTAAATTTAGAAACACGCACGTTGGGCAAATCAACAATTGTTTTAAGAACCTTGTAAAAGTAAAATGAAACTACTGCTAGTATCATTTTCTTGCCCAACGCAAGTATTTCGGCGATATTATTAGTACTAAACCAAAAGATGCTACTCCTAACGGTACAGTTAATGATAAAGCAATTTAAAAAATAAAACGAGCGTAATTTCTAAAGCTACTGTAATAACCAATAATCTAAATATTACAGCTATTCAGAATCGTCAACAATAGATTTTTTACGGCTGTAATAGTTGATAGATGTGTAGAGAATTGCACGTGCGATGGGTATTTATAGTATCATAGACTCTACCGCTGAGTATTATCATACTGCGTAGTAACCGAGAAAACACTTCGAGAAAAGCCACTGAAGCGTGTACATTCGCCGTGTCGAGACCAACTTTCTGTACGGAAAATTTTGGGTGCACGGGTCACCCTACTAATGAATGAGGGAAATTTATGGCAATACAGTATCTTGCTAAGTTTGATCAAAGCACGTATAATACAACAACACAGTGAATGAATTGAAAATGAGCATTTATTAATATATAAGTATGATTGTAATGATTATTGAACAATTTCTAATATATTTTGAAATACGATAACATATATAATAAAAGTACAAATTATCTTATACTGTAATCATCAAAGATGGGGATAAAAAAAACGCCAATCCCTAAAACTAAAAGCTAATTAAAACTAATTAACAATTTTGTTTTAATGGTATATATATTTGTATAAACAGTATGAAGGAAAGTTGGCATTGGATAACCAAAGAATTTACTTAGGCCTCGATATGATAAATGAATAACGACTAGCAACAAATACAAGCCGAAATTGGATTCATCCCCAGTCAAGTCACGTGAAAAACAAAACTGTTTATTTCAATAATTCGCTTGCGCTTAGGGGTCTCTTTAGCAGTGGGAGGAAACCGGAGGACCCGGAGAAAACCCACGAGGTTGGACAGGCGACCCTACTCCTTGCCACGTACAACCGGGGATTCGAAACCACGCCAGTCGATTCAATGACAGACTTTATGATACAGCGCGTGCACGCTAACCATTCAGCCATCCAACCCCCATGACAGACTGGAAGATGATTATTATGGAGCGGAATTTCCCCCATAATTCTAACTCCTAACCTAGTTGTGCGTATGCTAATGCTTACTTCTATGCATGTAACTTCTTACTAACACATATTAAATTGGCTATTTACACATGTAAAAATGCTAATTTATATAACTTATTTTTTAAATATTGCAGTTAGAATTTTTATTTTGTTCTATTTCCAGTATTACATTTAATTTATTGTAGTCTGTATAATTTCGTTAACATTTTGACATTTCACAAATGTTTAGCGGTAAAGCCGTCATAATTCTAAGCTGATTAGGGACATGTAAAATCTCGCCCTTTTCATAACTCGACAGATAAAAATCATAAAATATTTTACGTACAAAAGCAAATTATTCTAGATATTTTTCAGATGAATAAATAAGCTACCTTTTCGTGCATTTGCCCTAATACGGCCTTATCGATTGATTTAGCTTCAATTGTTCATGTTCCCAATGAGCCACCATAAAATTGTAAACAGTGCCGTCGGTTACCAAAATGAGCTTAGAATTATAGCTTCTTTACCGCGAAACATTTGTAAAATGTCAAAATGTTAACGAAACTAAACTGCCTACAATAAATTAAAAGTAATAATGGAAATAGAACAAAATACAAATTCTAACTGCAATATTTAAAAAAATAAAAAGTGTTAGTAAAAAGTTACATGCATAGAAGTAAGCATATTAGCATACGCATAACTAGTTAGGAGTTAGAATTATGGGGGAAATTTCGCTCCATAGATTATAATCCATTCATGATTGAGAGATTTACTCCCACTGTGCGAGTTTTATTGTTTAGGGATTAATCAAATAATTAACGATACATCAATGGGGATTAGTTAGGGTTAAGGGTTTACCAGAGGATTAACAGTTTAATTTAATATTAAAACTGACACAGTGGGAGTACCCCGATTGAGACTATTTGTGTTTAACAAGACATTATCAAACAAACATCCACAGTAAATCTACTCATTATCATTAACGATATCATAATTTCGTACACACTTTATTTTTTAGCGAATGCTATTTCCTCTTTCACATTAAACTGTTTTCAGTAAAAAAAAATATGCTTAATGAATCAAACTAGGATATATGGACTTTTGTTCATTGAGGTAGACTGGGGTGGGGCAGGGGTGTACAAGAGTTGCATCGCGCATCTGAATCGGTGGGTGAGAGCAAATGTGGAAGGTATGAAATTATGTGTTGAATAAGGAATTTGTCGCAATAGATGGTTGACTAATTAATTGTGATAGATAATCAATGTAAGCATGTAATTTGTAATCTACATTATTTACTAAACCAACCGTGTGTACAAGAGTTGCATCGCGCATCTGAATCGGTGGGTGAGAGCAAATGTGAGAGGTATGAAATTATGTGTTGAATAAGGAATGTGTCGCAATAGATGGTTGGCTAATTAATTGTGATAGATAATCAATGTAAGCATGTAATTTGTAATCTACATTACTTACTAAACCAACCGTGCTTCCAAATGTCTTTAAATGGCAGTTCGAGAAGAGTGTGATTTGGCATTTTGAACCGCGATAGGCGGGATTCTTCTTCACATGTGCTCCTGTAAAAATAAAAATAAATTTCTTAAGATTCAAAAACCGCAGCGTTTTATTATGCTGTGCACAGAAGTTAAATAATTTATTTTATCACCCAATAATACATTCTACAGTAGATATCGCTCGTGTGATAAAATTCATAATCTACTGCGATATCTTCTTTACATAAATTTGATTCATCAATCAAATAGGACCTACTTTTTTATTTTCAAGGAACAGTTCATTTTTTATTAACAGTAACTTCTATCTTATTAAAAAGTAACTATGTTTATTTAATTGACCATGATAGAAACACTGGGTCAATATAAAAGATTCTCTATGTCATTGATATAGCGAGCGGTGTTATTTAGGCTAGGAAACCAAGTCCAATTTATCGTTCTATTATGGAGTAGACACTTGAAAACTATTCTCGTTTCAGTAGGGATAGGTCTGTGTATGACAAGTGAAACTGGACAACAAAGTCTTTTCAATTCCATTTGTATGGTCTACACTGTAACAAAAACAAAATCGGTAAAAAAAAAGAAACGTAAAAAGTTCCGTAAACAAAAATTGACAGAAAATGTTTATTCGTATTTGTTTTTCCTGTAATTTACAGAAATTCCTTCAATTAACATAAATTCCATTTTCAAATATAGAAAGAAAAATCCTGGCAATTTTTGTTTCCAGAGCATGAAAGTGAAAAAAAATGGTATCGAATTAGAGGCAATTAACTCTTCACTGTTGTAGCGTGCCCCAGGGCTTACCATTGACTTAAAGGACAATATTGGTGCCAGTCATTATCACATATGTGATAGAGCTGGTTGAACACATTCCAAATATAATTTTAACACAGAGATCATTGCTACGATAGCTGAGTAATACGGGTTTCCTGAATCGGAAGTGACTAACGCCAAAGGAAAACACGAGTCTATATAACTGACTGATGTGACGAGTGATAACAGATACACGGTCGAATTTCTGCTTACTAATAATTCCTCCCAAGACCAAAAGTTGTTATATGGGACTGTTAGAGGATACCTGACAATTCAATAAAGTAATTGAATGTCATTAGTGAAGAGAACACGAAAAAAATAGAAATAGTCCGTACCTTCCCTTGTTTATATTCATTCTATACCTTATAAAAACATGGTAATGCACGGACTTTTTCTGTTTTTCTTTCGTGTTCTCTTATCTAGTGGCAGTCAATTCTTTTTATGAATTGTCAGATATCCTCTCACAGTCTCACACAACAACTTTTTCCTTTGGCGTTCGTCACTTCCGATTCAGGAAACCTGTATTACTCAGCTATCGTAGCAATGATCTCTGTGTTAAAATTATATTTGGAACGTGTTTAATTAGTTCTATCAAATATGTGATAATGACTGACACCAATATTGTCCTTTAATACGCAACCTCTTTCCGCTAACAGAAGAATACGGAATATCCTAGTCCTGTTCGGTAGACGAGAGCAAGGTATATAGACCTGTTTCAGATATATGTAAATGCTATAATCAGACCTCAAGTCAGGACACACTTAAGATGTAATATTGTTTCTATATTTATTATTATGCATTCTACTTTATAGGTATCTGTGTTTACAACTAGTTACTGTTTATACACTCTGATGTTCTAGTAATATTGTGGCTACCAATTTAGTATAATTTATATTTTTCCACAATGGAGATACAAAGGGAAAAGTTTGAATTATTAACAAACACAGATTACCAAAATGGAATTCCAAATGGATACAATTTGGAAACTAAGAACAACGAGAGCCCCAAAAGAATGAAGTGGAAGAGAGGGATAGAGTTTTTGCTTTCTCTCATTGGTTATAATGTCGGACTGGGAAATATTTGGCGATTTCCATACCTGTGCGCCAAAAATGGTGGAGGTAAACTCATATATATTTTTTGTGTCATCATACAACTGTGTTCCAAATTTTCACCTCCTAATATATATTTTTTAAAGTGGGAGTAGCCACAATGTTATATTTAAATGAACTGGGGTTTAACGTCCTACTTTTCTGCATCAACCGGGATACTGAAGAGGGGCATATAAGATTCAATGTGCTATTGGGGTGGGGTGCGATAGCCTTCTCGGTTGTTTTTTTTTCAATTTCGAACTATTAGGTCTATTTAACGTGTTGCCAATGCTCTTTTGGTTAATGAGCTAGTACCATACCCATCGAGTGCTGTAAGACAATATTATTATTTTGCGAAGTACAGAACAACAGCATTATTATTGTGTCTTGGTTACGTGATCGTGTTTTCTTTATCGGACATCGGAAACAGGTTGTTTTTTTTTTTTTAAAAATCCTATATGATTTGATTTATACAGTTAATATGTTCATGTTCAACTAGACAGCATTAAAACTTGTATCCGCCAATCTATCGCTGGAATATTTAGATGTTTTAATGTTCAGATTACGAGTAGTATTTTAGAGGTTTTCTGTAATTATAAATCTGTCGTTATTTTGAATATGCATATTTTTTTTTACTTAAAGTAATAATGTGTTTTGAACAGTGCTCCATATAATTCCATTACCCAAAAGGGTCCGAAATGACAAAAAATCTACTAGGTTACAATTCAGAAATTATAAGTTATTTGTATCATATTGAATCACAATTTTTCTGATAATATATGTTTTCTCAATTCAGCTGTATTCCTTATTCCTTACGTGATTTTCATGTTGGTCGTAGCATTTCCGCTAACCTTTATGGAACTGACTCTTGGTCAGTTTTCAGGAAAGAGTGCCTATGACGTGTGGGATATATGCCCAGCACTACGAGGTAAATATATAATTAATATAAATATAATATCATAAAAGAGTCAGCCATTAATATATTTATATACGAGTTGCGTGTGCATATTACGTTATACATGGACAGAGCGGTCTGGTTAGTCCGAATGGGCTAAGGCCTTCAATATTTATTTATCATTCGTGCACTGCAATCTAGAAAAGTGGACATACATTCGTAATTAAGTCCGTCGTATCAGATGAGTTTTTGCCTACCATTACGTTGTCTGCAGTTCCACCATTTCGTTCTCCACAAAGGGGTCGGGTGTTTTAGTGATGTAAGGCGTGCGCGTGAAATCACAAGGTCTGCCATTGAGTCAGGTGGCTTGGTTTCGCCCCCCCCCCCCCCCCCCGCTTATACGTGGCAAGGAGTAGGGTCGCCTGTCCAACCTTGTGGGTTTTCTCCGGGTCCTCCGGTCTCGCCCCTCCCACTACGCACAAGCGAACTATTGATATAAAATTGAACCATATGTTAGTCCCGAAATGACCTAGTTCTCTCTTTTTTAGCCCGAAGCGTTATACATTCGCTTAACCCGACATCTTGGATTACATAAATCACATAACATGTTGTTAACGTTTCAGGTGTGGGTGTATCTATGGCATGTGTTGCGACATTGTGCTGTCTATATTTTAATACCATTTTGTCGTGGATATTATACTACCTGGTCCATTCTTTTATGTCACCACTACCATGGACAACTTGTGGAAATACATGGAACTCAGATACGTGTTTCGTGCGGCACAAAATTCAAGACAATTCAACGATGAATCGTAGTTATATAATATTTAATGAAACACATTTTAATAACGAAACTTCAACAAACTTCAGCTATGTTAATGCTTCTGTGTTGGACAATAGTAGCTCTACATTAAACACTGCCCCCGAAGAATTTTGGAAGTGAGTTGTTTTTAGTTTTGTTCTAAAAGATGCATTATGTGAGATTTGGATAAAGAGCTGGACGGTCTTGCTATAGTAATTCAAAATAAGATAAAGAAAATATTAAAAATTTTAATCAAATTACTTTATGAGTATTTGAAGTTTTGACAAGCTTTAGCTTAGCCTAAATAGTCTTGATTGTTTTGAGTACCATTATTGCGAGGATAACAAAGTCTCGATCATCCATTTTAACGTTAACTTATGAAATGGCCATCCGATGATCTAGACGTGTGAATAAATAATTTATGATCACGATTGTCCATTTTAAAGTTAACTTATAAAATGGCCATCCGTTGATCTAGACATGTGAATAAATAATTTATATACCATTTGAAGCCAGAAAAAAGGCCTGCATTAGAGAGATTTAGCTCACACATAATGCTTGTTTAAGATTATCCAACAATTAGAAACGCAACAACAACCAAGTCTCGTCCGGTTCTCCGGCTCTTCAGACTGATAATGACCCTGGCGGTGCCCAAGCAGTTATTGAAATAATGCCATACATTAGTCCCTAAAGTATCTCATTAGTGTTAAGTGGACATTAGCCTCACCCCTCTTTCTCTCTCTCTCTCTCTCTCTCTCTCGAACCTGTTGATAATTTTGTGTAATCCACTCTTGTTCATTTCAGTAACAATTTGCTTGTAATATCCAGTGGACTAAGTGATATTGGAACCCTGCAATGGCATCTAGTACTAGCATTGCTTGCAGCATGGGTTATTATATTTCTGTGTATCATCAAAGGTGTCCGATCTGTCGGGAAGGTAATTTTAGATATTATGTAAGTTTGGGAAATAAAACCCCAATGCCATTGTTAGGTATGCATGTCAAATGATTTTCAGCAAAATCAAGTGTATCATGATTATTATTGTTAAACTTAGTACTATGGTAAAAGTTAATTTTCATACTGTCGGTACTCTATATGTTAGTTTGGAACTGTCCCGTGTACAAATTGGCGTGCACGTAAAAGATCCCTTGGCAGTTGGAATTCGATATAAGAGTAGGCCGTAGAGCCGCTGCCCGGGCAAAATTTCACTCATAGCATACTGTATGGCGCATGCCCGTCTTCATTAGCCCAGTTTAGGAGCAAAACAGTAGGACGTTAAACCCCATTTCATTTCATTTTCATTTAATTTGGAACTTCTACTGCCCTCATTGCCACGGTGATCCATGGCAGACAATTTCCTAATCAACTTCTATATGTCACATGTGACATTATTCTCTTTATACTCCAACCCGTATGTTCTTTTATTAAAAAATACAAATCGTCTTAAATAAATTTTGCAATTTCTAGTTATTCTGTGTTCATTCATTCTATAATATTGTCAGAATACATTATAGTGCTCGCAGTCTGTCTAATAGCTTATAATAATGTTAATTATATATATTTTGTTATGCAGGGAGTCAACATAGTTCCATGCCAGTTCTCTAATCCAAGTTCAGTTTTTTTAATAACAGTATTGTTTATAAGAAAATAAATTTATACATTTTGCAATTATATTTAGGTTGTATACTTCACAGCGACAGCACCATACATTATTTTAACAATAATATTAATTAGAGCTGTAACCTTACCCGGTGCTCTCAGAGGTATAGAATTCTACTTGATTCCAGATTTCAGTAAACTCATGGATATACAGGTATACTAGTTTTACTGATAAATCTTGAATACATATTTATATACCATAATTTGTTATCCGGAAGATGATTACTAAAATGGTTTCTTAATATCCAAATACTGTGTTGGCAAATATAAATTAATTCTTTGGAAATTAATTTTTTACAAAAATCTATGCCGATATTTGTGACTGTCGCTTGTTTGTCAGTCTGTCTGACTGTTCAGGTTTGGCGGCCACACTATAAGGCTGATCCGAGGCAGAAATTTGGTGTATAGAGGTAGCTCGGACCCGGGAGCAGCACAGCCCTGGTGGCGATGGCCTAAAACTTCCGGTTTCGGAATTATGCTACTTCCGGTCAATGACTATGCCCATGCTACACCGGGTCAACCGCTAGTATAATTGCAAATGGCTGGGACGTTTTCATTTTTTATCATTCATTTACATTTTATTATTCTAGATATGGACTGAATCCTTGCTACAGCTTTTTTTCTCAATGGGTATGGGATGGGGAGCATTCATCACGATGGCAAGTTATAATAAATTTAACAATAACGTTATGAGGTATGTTGGCAAAATGTGGATGAACAAACTTCTGAGAATTTGGAAAATGTAACAAATAATATCCGTCAGAGAATGCGACCACAGAGAACAAAATTGCTGTTTTCTGTTACATTATTGTTCGATGAGTATGGTACATTCACTAGCTAGGAGGTATCGGATTAGATCCCGGTTGTCGGCGAGAAAGTTAGTTGATTTTCCAGTCTGGTCTTCCCAAGGAATTATGTTTTGTCGTTGGGGTTGGACAAAAAACCAAGGTCAACCCATGTACAAATAGACGCACACTTCACAAAACCCTTAACATTGCATGGCACGCCCGATTGGTGCACATATTTAATTTCAGATAAAGGCAGAACTACTAATTGTGTGGGCAATAATCGACGTATACTTGGAGCTTAATTATATTTCTCTTTTTACATGAAATGAACACCGTTTATTGTATTTCAGAGATACTATAGTATTTTGTATTATTGGCGAAGGTACAAGTTTCTTGGCCGGTTTTGTTGTATTTTCAGTATTAGGCTATATGTCCTATGAAACTGGATTAGAAGTCGCGGATATTATAAGAACAGGTATATATAATCTTTTTGATCCTGGCAAAATCAGTCTTATTAACTATACAAACAGTTCATAAAATGTGTAATTTATGAGATAGGATTTCTCTTTCACCTTACTGATCTTAACTAAATACAATGGCGAAAGGTAGACTTGAGAAGAAAAGACGCATCCGTTAAGGAAGACATTAACAAAAAAATCAATTTGACATTGTGTTGTTTCTTTTGAAGAAAACTTTGTTGAAAGATGAACAAATTAATGTACATTGTAACTATTACAGGCCCAGGTCTGGCTTTTATAACATACCCAGAAGCACTCAGCCAACTTCCGGTGCCGCAACTGTGGGCTGTACTATTCTTTTTGATGCTTTTACTTATGGCTTTAGATAGTATGGTAAGTTTTGGAATCTTCAAGGAAAATATTGGTGCCAGTCATTATCACATATGTGATATAACTGGTTAAACACGGTCCAAATATTATTTTATCACAGAGATCATTGCTACGATAGATGCGTAATCAATGTTTCAACAATCGGAAGTGACGAACGCAAAAGGAAAACACGAGTTATCTCTCTATATAACTGGCTGATAAGACGGGTGATAACAGGTACATGGGCGAATGAGCAGAAATTCGCCCATGTATTTGTTATTACTCGTTACTTCCGTCAGTTATATAGAGGGATAACTCGTGTTTTCCTTTTGCGTTTTTCACTTCCGATTGTTGAAATGATCTCTGTCTTAAAATTATATTTGGAACGTGTTTAACCAGTTCTATCACATGTGATAATGACTGACACCAATAATGTCCTTTAAAACGGGAGAGGTCTGGCGTTTAAACGTCAAGAAGGTGTGGCTAAATACATTTCGTGTACAACAGCCATTCGAGATACAGGACATAAAAGCACTAGTATGGGGTTGACATGACCAATGCTCATCGCCTCTCTCTCTCTCTCTCCCTCTCTCTCTCTCTCGCTCTCTCTCTCTATCTGTGACATATGATTAGAGATGTTTCTCACAGTCTCATATTACTATATACCGCTCCATGATACCAACTGTTGGTTTCCATAGTAACGCCAGTTCTACTGCTTGTTGCGTAATATCAAGTAGCTGATATTACTTATACACATCTGACTCTGTATCAAAGTACTTTACCAGAGGTACATAACTGCTGACATGTGCCGATATGAGTACCTAAAACTACTTATCTTCTATATCAAAATATTTTACCCGAGTTACGTAATTTTGGAAATCATATTCGAACGGCCCAGTATCTACAGATATGTTCTCTTGATACATTGTGGCATTTCAAATAAATATTTAAACATTTTTATCAACCGATATACAGTGGAATCGGGATAATCGCCTTTAATTTAGCAATAAGCATATTTACTGTATCGGGTGAAATCCAATACAGCTCTATAATATTTTTTAATACTTTAGTTTATAAAAAAAACGAAACGAAATAGGATACATATTTTAAAAGATTAGGTCAAATCGTATCTCACTTTAATCACTTAAACTGCATTCATTGTGAAAGGATTTTATATTTTTAAGACGTTCGGAATGTTGACTTATATAAAACACAGTGCTTTATATTTGTTGAAAAGGTTCTTAATGCACCATGATTATATTTCTGATGCATTAGATTAATTGCTAATATAATGTGAAATTTAGAAAGAAGAAGAAAAACAGCTCTCATAAAGGATAAATATGGTAAAATAATATGTTTTAAATGACACTTTGAAAGAAAGTAGGCTATTGAACTACTGAAGGCATGGTTGCGTTTTTATATTATGGCATTGCTATTAAACATACATTATACAAGAGCTAAATCTGCCTATTTCAGGTCTTTCTTTAGGCCTGAAATGTTATCTAAATTATTAATTAGACATTAATTAACTTATCCAGACCATAATCAAGTCTCTGTGCCATTGCTAACCTGCGATATTTATTGGATAATGATCTGATTTGCTGATCAACTTTCATTCGTGGATAATCGAGACTATGTTTTTTATCGTACCGACTTTAATAATGATGATCGATGCTAGGCCGAAAATTAAATCGCTAAATTCTCGATTCACAGTGGATCAATTTGACTGACATTTTCAGCAAATTCCTTTTACATTATCTAGTTTTTAACTATTACAGTGAAAACTGCCAGCTCGTTATCTAATCTCCCATAATGTATCTTTAACCATATTTTTGTAAAAGGATTCAAGTAGTAATATTTTTTTCTAGGCGCTGTGAAAAAAAGCGTTGTAAATCATAGCTGCGACAAATTTTTTTGTTATCTAAACAATTTATCAACTGATATAACCTTGTATCTCAACTAGTTTTTCTTCGTACGTTTTTTTATATATTATTTACTTTCACTCTAGAAAGAATAGCATTGTTATTAAAATGTGATTTGTGTAAAACAACAAACAACTGTTGTGATGGATTAACATAGTGATATTTTCTCAAGAGTATTTTATTTATACTGGCCGGCGACCTTTCTACCGAATTCCAACTGTCATTTTTCCTTCACTACTAATTATTCTTGTCATCGAACAGAGCTAAACACATAATTTAGTTTTAAGTAGGAGTTGAGGAGAGAGAATTGGGGGATTTGCTCTGAGGACCTTTTTGTTATATATAGACCTGTGTTAGTCTATTCCAATATTACACAAATTGATTATTTAACATTTAATTAAGAAAACAAAATCAAAATAATTTCCTAGCTTGGATGCAAACATGCCTATGATTAAATTTTCATGAAGAACAAAATGACGGTGGGCTTATTACATAGCGAACAGCCTAGATCGATAAAATTTCAATTTCACATATCTTTGTAAATACGGGACGGAAATGAACCATTTTCGGGCTGATATTCGTATTCTAGATTTATATTTCAGAATATTGTAGTTTGCAAGGGATTCCTATAGCACTAAATGACGCACCCAGAATATATGTATAGCATTACGGGCGTTCAGCCCCTTGTTACAATTACGATGATGATGTTTTGTAGTTTGTTAATGTGGAAGTCTGTGTTACAACTATAGTTGATTTAATACCAAAGTCAACTGATAAAACAAGAATGTTTATCACTGCTGTTACCTGTTTCGTCATGTTTCTCATAACTTTAATTTATGCTACTCAGGTAAGAATTATCTAATTTTAAAAGTGCAGTATGTAAGAGGTACATCTGCGATATTCACATGACAAGCCCATAATCATCAACGTAGAATTATTAACACGTACATGTATAAACTAATATTTAATGAATTAACCGAATAGAAGACTTGCCTGTAAATGACATTTGAAATACACGCCTTCTCGTACTCGTATTATCAGCACATTGCATTTTTACGTTTCGTTATGAATTTCCCGGTAGTTCTGAGTTTTGCACCAAAATAAAAAAAAAAAATTCACGGTAAATAAAGGAATTATGATCATCAAGTCGCATTATCCCTATTTTTTGACGTTCGCCATTCGCCGTTTTAGGAAAATCACAGCCACCGAATCAGACCCCGATAAGCACACCGAGCAAGTATGTATTATGAACCCTGCCTTGTGTAATCCGCAGTAAGCGGTCAGAAATGTTGGATTTCAGTGAACAATTTCCCCCAAAATATGTTGCATAACGTTTGGGGGAACCTTCAACGATTTACTCGCCGGAACATAAAGGGGGGTAACTCCAAAACTTACAATCGAAATTCCATAATAAAAATGGGCTAATGAAGACGGGCATACGCCATACAGTGTACTATAAGGGAAATCTGAAACAATGGTTGGGTTTTTTTTGTGTGGCATTTCGGGTGCCACTGAAAATTCCACTACACTTTCTCGGCCAACACCGGGAGCGAACCCGCGACCTCCAGGCTAGCGAGACACCGTCTTGCTCACTTTTCTTGCGTGGCTCCCGAAATGCCACAATAAAAAATCCCACCATGTTTTCGGAATTTCCATCCAGAGCTTTATCCTCTGTCACCTATTATGGGATAGCATATGCATGTCGTACTTATTGCACACAGTTACAGGAATCAATCGGCATGCTTCGATATATTCCGATTTTTTTCTGCATGTGCAGAATATATTTGATCATTGCATAATAACAGAATAGTATGATACAATTTATAAAAATACTAGTGTCATATATTTGGAGATATGTTTTTAAAAAAAACCTATTATATTGACCGTTGTCTGAGATAAAAAAAAAAACAGAATCCACGGTACCTAATAATATTTTATTTTATGCTTTCAGGCAGCAATTTATATTTTTCAATTGGTAGACTGGTATTTTGCAGCTATAACTCTTTATCTTATTACTATACTAGAAAGTATTGTTATAGGTTGGATATATGGTAAGTCAGCTTTATAACTGTATTAGAAAATATTGTTATAGGTTGGATATGTGGTAAGTCAGTTTTATAACTGTATTAGGGGGTCACGGTGGCTAAGTGGGTACGACGCTGGCTCGTTAGCCTGGAGGTCGGGTGTTCGATCCCTGCATTGGCCGAGAAAGTTCATCCAGATTTTCTGGCGTGGTTTCCCCTGCAGTGATGCAGGACGGAGGGCCTGACAAGGACAGCTATCTAGTCGTTCGGATGGGACGACAAACCGTTGTCCCGTGTACACATTGGCGTGCACGTAAAAGATCCCTTGGCAGTTGAAATTCAATGTAAGAGTAGGCCCGGGCAAAATTTCCCCCATAGCACACTGTATGGCGTACCCCCCGTCTTCATTAGCCCAGTTTGGGAGCAGAACAGTAGGACGTTAAACCCCATTTCATTTCATTTTTATAACTGTATTAGATATTAGAAAGTATTGTTACAGACTGGATATGGGATACTACAGTTTTGCTAATATTGTTATCTTACAAAGGTGTCAATGATCATAACGTGGCAATTACTGATTTTTTAACCTCGAAAGTGTGTTAGTGACCTTAACCTGGTATTTGTTACTTGTCTCATATCTTCATTAAATTCCAACAGCCAATGGTTCTTTTACGTACACGCCAGCGTGTACATTGGTCTCTTGACCCATTCCAACAACTAGACACTGTTGTTATCTTACAAAGGTGTCAATGATCATAACGTGGCAATTACTGATTTTTTAACCTCGAAAGTGTGTTAGTGACCTTAACCTGGCATTTGTCACTTGTCTCATATCTTCATTAAATTCCAACAGCCAATGGTTCTTTTACGTACACGCCAGCGTGTACATTGGTCTCTTGACCCATTCCAACAACTAGACACTGTTTCTTGCAAGCCCCCCCCCCCCACCCGTCCTTTCCCACTGATTGCTTTAATGTTTCAGGTGCTGATAGATATTTTGCTGATATAGAAATGATGTTAGGAAAACGACCGCCTATTCTATTAAAATACATATGGCGTTTTGTCAACCCAGTTATACTAGTTGTAAGTTATGCTAAATAATTACTGATTGAATAGTAAAACATAATATTCCATAAACAGTACACAGTAATCATTACTTATGACAGAATAATATACTAGTTGTACGGTATGCTAAATATAATTACTGACAGAACAGAGAGAGAGAGAGAGAGAAATGGGGTTTAACGTCCACTCGACACAAACTAGGTCATTTCGGGACTAACATATGGTTTAATTTTATTTACATAATTCGCTTGCGCGTAGGGGTCTTTAGCAGTGGGAGGAAACCGGGGGACCCGAAGAAAACCCACGAGGTTGGACAGGCGACCCTACTCCTTGCCACGTACAACCGGGGATTCGAAACCACGCCAGTCGACTCAATGGCAGACTTTATGATACAACGGGCGCACGCTAACCATTCAGCCATCCAACCCCCCTGACAGAACAGTAAAACATAATATTCCATAACCATTACACAATAATATTATTATACTGTTGAACAGTAAAACATAATACTCCATAAACAGTACACAAGAATTATTATAATACTGTTGGACAGTAAAACATACTATTCTATAAACAGTACACAATAATTATCAGTATACTGTTGAATAGATAAACATAAGCATGTCATGAACAGAATAATTATACTGTTTAACAGAAAAACATAATATGTCATAAACAGTACACCATAATTATTATTATACGGTTGAACAGAAAAAACGTAATATGTCATAAACAGTACACCATTATTATACTGTTGAACAGAAAAAACATAATATGTCATAAACATTACACAATAATTATTATTATACTGTAGAAGAGTAAAATACAATATGTCATAATCATTACACAATAATTATAATTATACTAGAACAGAATATTTTATTGTTTTCTTTTTATAGATGAAATTACATATTTCATGTTTCAGACTATTTTAGTTTTTACGCTGGTTAAATACAAACCGCCATCTTATGGTGATTACCATTACCCTGCTTATGCTAGTGTCTTTGGCTGGATTTTAGCTATCATTTCCTCCATACCTATACCCATATGGTTTGTTAAAGAAGTCTTTTCACGAAAGGGTTCAATAATCCAGGTATGTAGTATTTGAACTAAGCATTTACATATTCATTGATTAAAACTAGATCAATATCTGTCTATATACCAAGATTTTAATGTAGTCGTGTATTGCCGTGTCGCATGTTCGGCCATTTGACGTCCACATTCTTGCGAACACCTGAAATGCATATTAATTGTGCATTTTGTCATGAATTTGCATGAACTATTTATCTTATCAAACTATTTCTGATATGATTTTTATGACTTTGCTTGATAAAGACGTGAGATCCCTCGTCGAAACGTCTCATATTATAGTAATAAACTCAGTAATTCTGTTTCCATTAAAGTTGCACCTTGTGTTCTGTAAATAACTTGGGTTTGGTGCTTTATATTGAATTGAGTATGGCTGAACCAGTTGATGATCTATCTCAAAATGTGTCTCCCACATAAAGCTTAATTATTGGACACCTTATAACTAATGAATCAGCCGTTACACTGGCCAGATCCTTAATAACAGTCAGCGATCTCTGGTGACCACTATCATAGGTATCCCCCTTTTATATTGACTCATGCTAGTACAAAACAGGTTACAATGTTTAATCTATTCTTCTGAATATATTCTGAAATGCCCAACTCCGGTGATTTCAACAGTAATACATCTTTGTTATGAAATCCTGCAAGCGAAAAAAAAAGCTATACAATTATAGTGTAATAGATTTCCGTGATTTCTTGTGAAGTCTTCTGGAGTTCGGCAACTGAAAGTTGTGTGAAATAGAAACTAAACCATTGACAATGATTGAAAGGAATAAAAAGAGCTAAATATATTTGATATAGAGAAATGTATAGTAACATATAGTAAATATATAATAACATATAATTTTTTTTTTCAGAGAATCCGTGACTCCTTTAAACCCAATGAAAGATGGGGTCCTTCAAATGATTACAATCTAACCAAGAACACACCAGAATCTCCGTTCTAAATTATAAATTATATTAAAGATACATTATGGGAGATAAGATAAAGAGCTGACAGTTCTCGCTATAATAGTTAAAAAATAGATAATGTAAAGGTAATTTGTTGAAAATTTCAGTCAAATTGGTCCACTATGAACCGAGATATCAGCTTTGTAAATTTCCGCCTAGCCTCGTTCATCATTACTAAAGTTAGTACGTTAAAAAGCATAGTCTGGATTATCCATTGTTTTGAATTAATTATCAATGAGCGTTTGCAGCAGATAGGAATCTAATCCAGTCGATATCGAAGGCTAGCCTTGACATCGAGAGTTGATTATGGTCTGGATAAGTTAAGAAAGACCTGCGATAGGCAGATTTAGCTCTTGCATAATGCATGTTTAATACTATTATTCTGTATATTACCATCGATTATGAGCGGGGTGGGGGATATCATGGAAGTTGTTATACCGGATGAGAGAGAGGGAGAGAGAGAGAGCGAGAGAGAGAGATAGGGGGTAACGTCCACTCGACACAAACAAGGTCATTTCGGGACTAACACACGGTTCAGTTTTATTTCATTAATTCGCTTGCGCGTTGGGGTCTTTAGCAGTGGAAGGAAATCGGGGGACCCGGAGAAAACCCACCAGGTTGGACAGACGAACCTACTCCTTGTCACCTGACACAATGACAGACCTTATGATGCAACGCACACGCGTTAACTATTCGGCCCCAATCCCCAACCCTCAGTAGGGAGACAGAGAGCATTCGATGGGTTGTCTTGTTTGTATGATTTCTAATTCATGCCCGTTTACTTCATGATACCCCCATCTCATTAATGTGAGTCTTTACTCAAATATGTCGGAAAATGATAATTCAAATACTTTACTTCGAATCTAGACCAAACAGTCAATAAATATTACCCTGGTAACCTGTTCAGGGGAAATAATTACTAATCGTAGTCCATATTAGGATGCAGACCTCTTTTCGTTTCTGTGTTAATCTATGCCTGCCTGGGTTTGTTTTAATTCCAACCACAGCAGGCGGAGATAGCATGTAACAAGGCTAAGCACGTATATCACCGTAACAAACCTTTAACTGTGTTATCGTCACGCCCAATATTCACCACATCGGTGGTCTGAATCATATTACATGTATTGAAATAGTACTCTCCCCTTCATCATATATTACTGAAATGAAATTAAATGAAATGAAATGAAATGGGGTTGAACGTCCTACTGTTCTGCTCCTATACTGGGCTAATGAAGACAGGTATACGCCATGCAGTGTGCTATGAGGGAAATTTTGCCCGGGCAGCGGCACTATCGCCTACTCTTATATCGAATTCCAACTGCCAGGGGATCTTTTACGTTCATTCCAATATATACACGGGGCCTCGGTCTTTCGTCCCATCCGAACGACTAGACAGCTGTCCTTGTCAGGCCCTCCATCCTGCATCACTGACAAGGGGGAACCACGCATATATTACTAAAATATATTACTGGTCGAATGAACACAGGTATGTGCCATACAGTGTGCGATGAGAGAAATATTGCCCATACAGCGGTGCTACGGTCTACTCTGATTTTGAATTCTAACTATCAAGGGTTGTTTTTTGTTTTTGTTTTTTTTTTTGGGGGGGGGGGGTTAATGTGCATGGCAATGTGTACAACGGGACCTAAATTTTTCGTAACGCGCGAACGAGTACACGTTGTCAGGTGTCAGGCCTTCCGTTCTACGCCATTGACAAAGGAGAACCGTGCTGGAATATCCCAATGAACTGTCTCGACCAACACCGGGGTCCAACACTGAACTTTCCCACTGAGCCACTACGGCTCTCTATATTATTGGATAAAGACAATATTGTAAGAGGGGTAGAAAACAAACATGCATCTACTTATAATAGACCGGGGTTATTTATTGTCAATTATAGTGTACGACTGTTTTGTTGGTCCTGCAAGTTCCCAGATATGGCTTTTCGTAAGGGATTAAAAAAGGTTGAATATATTATTAATTATTCAGGACTTGAGTATGCTGTTTGTCAGTGTGAGATACATTAAAAGAAAATTAATCATTTTGGCTGAATGATAACATGAATGGCAAGTTGATGCAACCGGAGTACCTTGTCCAACGTCCAGCGATCGTGCACAAATGTTCAATAAAAGTAATATTTGAGCGAAACATACACACATTTTGTTGAGGCGCATTAAAAGAAATGAAATGAAATGGGGTTCTGCTCCGACTGGGCTAATAAAGACGGACATACGCCATGCACTGGGCTATCAGTCAAATTTTGCCAGGGCAGCGGCACTATGGCCTACTCTCATATCGAAATCCAACTGCGAAGGGATCTTTTACGCCAATGTATACACGGGATCTCGGTTTTCTGTCCCATCCAAACGACTAGACAGCTGCCCTTGTCAGGCCCTCCATCCTGCACCATTAACTTCCTCGGCCAATGCAGGGATCGAACACGCGACCTCCAGGCTAGCGAGCCAACATCTTACCCACTTAGCCATCGTAGCCCCGCGTATTAAAAGGGCAGTATTTTTTCAAAATATTCGAAATTAAAAACACAAATATGAATTCTATATCGGTGAATTTCAATCAATGTTAATGTTGAAATCTTGACATGAAAATATGGTATCCTAATATATAAACAAGACAATGCGGAAGTAATTAGTAATGGCTAATTCACAAACGACAAAATAATAACCCAACTTATTGTAAACAACAATAAAAGTGAATGATAATGATGTTACATAGTAAAATGTGACTTTGTTCTTCGAGGAGTCGCGATCTGATCCTGGATCTCGAATGGGGTCGCCACCCAAAATAGGTTGGGAACCTATGCTCTAGAGCATCGGATGGCGGAGATTTAAACAAATTGAAATACGATCGAACTTTAATAATTTTATTTTATTGCTACGCTAATAAACAATCTGCGCTACATCTTCCAACACCCATAACTTCACTCAGAATAAAGTAAATGGAATGAAATCTACAATATATTCATTTTTCATTATCTTTTTTTGAACTATTATAGCAAGAACGGTCATCCCTTTATCTAAATCGAACATAATGCATCTTTAAAGATCAGTCAAATGCATTACTATCCTATAAAGATTGATTTAAAATATCGCACCAAATTTGTTACCCAATGACACGTACCGTCAATTTGTTACCCAGTGATATGTACCGTCAATTTGTTACCCAATAACACGTTCCCTCATGGTTGTTCTTTTGCTGTCCATGCTGAATCTACCTTTAGAGTTCTGGAGTAAGTTTTGATCGTCTCGCAACATTGTAACAAATAAATGGTTTCGTTCAACCAAGTAGAGCTAATAGGGCAATGAAACACCTGTCGTACTGTATAATATAGACCATTGTTCTCACTAAAAAGGTTTTTAAGTTGGTGTTTATAAACTGTACGTTCACCATGAACTGAATATTATATATGAAATAGAACATCGACGCCATATTAGCTTCTCAACTTTATACTCTAAATCAAATATTGTTCATTCGTTGTACGCACTGGTTGCAGATGTACGAATTTCAAATTTTCCAAAAGAATCAATATTTTCTATTGACATGTTTATAAATTATAGATTGTTTGTTGTCGAGTATTTAAATTTAAGGAAGAACGAGAAAGGTATAGTTCAGAATCTTTACAGAGATTGATTGAGCTTTCTGTTATCTATATTAATATTTATGACTGTCGATGGTCTGTTTGTTTGTCTGTCTGTTCAGGGTTGGCGGCTACACTAGGGCTGTCCCGAGGTTGATTGAAATTTGGTGAATAGGGGTAGCTCGGACCGGGGAGTAACATAGGTCTGTTGGCGATGGACTACCATATCCTGTTTCGGAGGTATGCTATTTTCGGTTCATGGAGAGAGAGGGGGTTGGTTGGGGTTAGATGGGGTGGGGGGGGGGGCACTCAAAACAAACACTAAGCAGGTTTAATTTCCACTCAACACAAAAGCTTGAACGTAGTAATGTTTTATAAAGAAAAATTATGGGCACATTTCGTACAATCTCAAAATTTGACTGAATGGTTGTATAAATATGATACTTTTTCTCGAACGAAATTTGGTTATCGTGATATTGTATGTAACGGTTAAATTGGTGTGTAAACATATAAAATATAAAGATGCAAGAAAGATTCATTTGTCAGCTGTACACGTCTAGATTGCAACATGGTAACAGGTGTAGCCATATACTGTTTTATACAAACTATTGAACAATAAAAACTGATATGAATGGAATCAATGTGTAATAATATATAAAGGTTGTAGATACGATACTGTTAGTGTCCTGGTGGCTCAGTGAGTAAGACGTTGGCTTGCTAATCTGGGGGTCGTGTTTTTGATCCCGGTGTTGGCCGAGAAAGTTCATATGATTTTACGGCGTGGTCCCCCCCCCCTTGTCAGTGGTGCAGGACTGAGGGCATATTGGGAGAGAGGGAGGGAGGGATACGACCACTCGATATAAACTCCACTAAGTTCAAAACAGGAAAGATCTATCACCCAATTATTCACTGGTTAGCTAAGGCCAACTTCAAGTTTGGTCAAAGGTCACGCGTTGTAAACCCTAACCTTGGACCAAGCCCTAATGCATACCCCAACCCTGATCTATAATCTCGCCAACGTGCCCTAACCTTATTTACATCTCATTGATTTAGCCATTATTTACGGTGTATTTATCTATCTTAATAGGTTCACCTTTTTTAATATGCCGTTTGTTTTGAGTCGTTCTCGTTTGTAAAATTGATTATTCATTATTTCGCTTCATTTGTAACCGTTTGTTTTGGGTCGTTATCGTTTGTAAAATTGATTATTCATTATTTCGCTTCATTTGTAATATACAATAAAATTTTGAATATATCAATATATTTAGGACAAGTAAAGGTCACCTTGTTTTTGTTGGTGTGTGGTGATAGATGTGTAGTATCCAAATGTTTCCGTTCGTAAGATTACACGCGAATCTAAAATTTGAAAGAACTTTAAAATGATGCGACATATATGATTGTGTAAAATAGCTTTAATTAAATTTAATGGTGAGATATAACTGATTTTTATTTCAACAGTCAACAGTTTCCACCAACAACGAAAGTAAAGTTGATTTCCGTTTGTTTATTCGAAGTTCTCAGATCAACCTAAATATTTTAGTCGAGTGAATCAAAGAGGGTTAACTCCTTTAAGGTCAGAACAGAAAGCTTCGTTTCGTTTTGAGGTGTGTAATCGTCCTCGGTATCACGAGGGGTATCGTACAGTTCTACTCCACTTATGTAAGCCATGGGTCCATTCACGGGGTCTTCACTAATTCAAATTACTTACCAGTTTTAACGTCATTGTTTAAGTTCACCACAATAATCTGGACTTAGACTAGTAATTATTTCCCCCTATTTCAGGAATGTAGTGCGAGTTATAAATAGACAATATTTCCCTTAATTTTTTTCTCCCCTTTTCTTGTATTTTTTGTTTGACTTTTTAGTCTAGAATTGGAGAAAGGGGATCAAATTTGCAATTTCATAGCAGTTTTGGGTAATACTGATGATATTACAGCGGAGGGATAGGGGGTGTAAAGTGTCTCTGCTGAGCAATCATTGTGTAGGAAGTGAGATTGTCACCCCAGTCAACATCGAATCCCCGTAGCAAAAAATCTAAACGTTTAACCCCCTACAACATTATGATGAGCAGATTGCCAAATGTGGTCCCCATTGTGCCTATAAAGATTGGAACGAACGGAATATTGAGCAAAAAGCTGTAGCCTGTGCTGTTACAGCCATTTAACATTGAAGTCAATTGGTAAATAATAAACATAACAGAATGAAATATTTCAGACAAAAACCGAATAGTAATAATAATAACAAAAGTCAAACATACAGATGTTATACATAATTGAAATCAGCGAAACATACTACAGATTTTGATAATACAATTAAATATAAATAAATTATAAATATATACATTATTTACATAAATCATTCAGTAAATGGACATGAATATGGTTATCTACCCTTATCAAAACAAACGGGAAACGACTGGTTTGTAAACTGTTTTTTGATTGGTTCATAGATTTTAGCTACTCAAGGCTAAGGCAGGTAATTTGAAATTGTGGAAACCCTATGGATTAACTCAGGGTATAGTGGAGTAGAACGGAAAAGTACACTGCTGATACAAAGGATGACCTGGCATTTGAAATTCGAAATAAGAGTAGGTCGTAGGGCCTTTTTCCGTGTAAAATTCAACTTACAGCAAACCAGTCGGAACAGAACAGTAGTGGACCGTCATAAGGTCTTCCTTTGAGCTCCTTTGAGCATGTTTTGTAGTCATTTGACTACAAAAATGTTACTGACTTATAGTCTAGACCCCGTAATTTCCAATTACACTGGACCCAAACTGGACTGTGCATAGCTTAACATATAATAAACCAATTCCAATTGAAATAAAGATGAAACCTTACCGAATAATTATATTATTTGATTAAATCCAACTGCTATGCGAAATGTCTATTCATTTTAAAATGCAATCCGAACTAGAATCACGTGTTTTCATGTTACTCGAAAATACAGAAAAACTGTTCGGTAAGATAAGATTTCAGTGTTCCACTCTTCACGATTTGTAACATATAGAGAATCTTCTACCAGTCTTTTTTGATGTCAAAAAAAGACGAGTAGGAGATTTTATTTATCACCCAATCCCTTCTTACATGCACAAATAGATAGATATAATTCTGTGCTGTAGATTTAACTTTTACTAAACATTATGGCGTAGCGATACATCATTTTTTGACAGCAATTCAACCATGGCAAAGCCCTTTATATTGACCCAGTGTTTCCATCAAGGTCAATTGAATAACAATAGTTCATTTTTAATTTAAAAAAAGCTACTTTAAATAAGAAATGAACACTTCTTTGAAAATAAAAAAGTAGTTCCTTATCAACTGACCAATCAAATTCATGTAAATATATCACACAAGCGATATCTACTGTAGAATGTATTATTGAGTGATAAAGTTACTTATTTTTATGCAAACTGTGATGATATGTGTTGAAAATTTTGCAATTGAACGTAATTTTACTTCCACAAAACATCGAATTGTGTATCAAGTGTAGCCGTTAATAAAAATTATCACGGCTACAAATATTGCAGCTAGTTGAATCCCATTTCATTTCATTAAATTTCATTGACTTCAGTATTCGATTAAGGACACTGCTATAGTGAAACGGATCTTTAAAATATTCGCCGTGACATCCCGTGCAGACTATATAAACAACCAACAGAGCGTATTATTTTCATTAGAATAATTCTCCATTTTAGAATTGCAATTAACAGACAGGTAAGTTGATGCGTGTAAGGTATCTGTGGATGTGTATTATTATGAAGGAGCAAACGAAACAAATATGCATTTCAATGTATATGGACATAGTTTCTGTGATATAGAAAATTTGACCACGAAAATGAGACATACTGTCATCTGTACACGGATTTTTATGGAAATGAATATTTGTCACAAATAAAAATCGCAATCGCAATATATATCCAATCGAAGGTTAGATGAATATATATTCTTCTTGTTTTCTATTATCATTAGTGTCATCGTAAAGTGTTACCATTTTGCCCAAGCCGTTGAAATGGGCGTCTTAATTTATGTGCCTGGGATGACACTGACTACTGACCAATAAAAAAAAGAGAGAGAGAGAGAGAGAGAGAAATGGGGTTTAACGTCCACTCGACACAAACTAGGTCATTTCGGGACTAACATATGTTGTTAAATTTTATTTCAATAATTCGCTTGCGCGAAAGGGTCTTTAGGAGTGGGAGGAAACCGGAGGACCCGGAGAAAACCCACGAGATTGGACAGGCGACCCTACTCCTTGTCACGTACAACCGGGGATTCGAAACCACGCCAGTTGACTCAATGACAGACTTTATGATACAGCGCGCACGTGCTGACCATTCGGCCATCCACCCCCCCCCCCCCCCAAAAGGATAGAATCCCAAAATAGTGACGCTCGGTAGCTCGATGGGCATGGGCACAAGTTCACTAACCCGGTTCGATTCTAGCATGGTTTCGTCCTTGTCAGTGGTAAAGCCGTGAAGGACGGAGGGGCTGCTGCCCAGGAACTATGCCTAGTCGCCTGGATGGGTCGAATGACAATGTTGCTCCATGGATACCACTAGCAGAACATTTAAAAGACACCCTGACAGGTGAGAATCGAAACACGAGTAGGTCGTTTTGAAAATTTACACTACGATATCTACAGAAAAGTAAGACGTCAAACACAAAAGGCATATCGATAAGATGTTTACTTCCTTTGTTGCGCAGTGCTGACTGATACGTCGGTTTCATAAGTTACCAATTCAAACTCATTAGTTTGGATTACCATCCAGTTTGTTTTATGGTTTTGTGGCATCTTAGGAATTTATTGATAAATAAATACATATATGAATTAACACTTTTGTAAATATATTTATGGCGACATACATTTTAAGTGTTGGGACAAGATGGTAGCAAATTTGTTTTAGTGGCATTTAGTAACTGGATGAGAATAACACATGACACAATTATATGGAATACAAGTTACTTGAAGAGTTTATTACAGCGACGTTTCGACGAGGATTCTCCCGTCTTTATCAAGCAAAAAAT